CACAATTTTTCTTCACTAAAGCAGAGCTTCAGCCCTCCTCTGTGTGTCTTAATGACAGTGGATTTTCGGCTACATCTTTTACTTATATTTTTCTACAGGAAAATCTATACTCATCCTTGTAGCACTACTGACTTTATTGGGTTATTTTGCAAGTATGAAAGGACTGTGCAAAGGAATGTGTTTGTAGCAGGTAGAAATTCATGAGACTTACATGCCCCAGTGTATGTCTGCAACCTGTTCTGCATACTGAGATAGGTACACATATGAAGCCATTCTACAAATGAAAAGCCATAACCTACGATTTTGTTTCCAAGGGTCAGAAAAATTGAGCAATATAATTAAATATAATACTCTGTAAAAACCATTAGTTAATTCATATTTATGTTAATGTGCCTCTTATGATATGCATTAGGTTTTTTGTATTTTAATCAGAGAAAATTATAAATACAATCAGGAAAGCCTTGTTACTGTTTTCAACCAGAGCTAATTGTCTTGTAGAACACTTAATGAGTCATTATTCATTATGATGGTGAGGACAGGGAAGGCAGATGGCATGGTAGTTTTATTGATTCTGTGATCCCACTGTAGCTTGCTGATTAAGTAGGATTGAACACCACAGTTAGTGTGGCCAGAATTACACAAAATTCTGTTTTGAGTCAAGGGTATCAGACAGGAACTTTCAGATACCACTGTTTGGAGGCCTGCCATCCTAATTTGTACTTGTAACAACGGAATATTGCACGCAGTCTTCCATTTCAGCTTCCATTCAATTTTCAAGTGTTATTTTATGGGTTAAGTTGGATTCAACTCATCCACTCATAGCCATGGAGGTGTTAAAGATCTGCTAAGGTTTAACAGAGACTCATTTGTGCACTGCAGAGACCATTCAACTCACTGCCTCAATAGGGAATTTCCTCTACTGGCTGCTCTATCACTCTTACCCTCTTGGTAGATAGGCAAGTGCTGCTGTGTGAAAGTAAAATAACCTGTGAATAATTCAGAAATTACACCCCTTGATTCTGAATTATTTTGAAATGGTTTAATATTCTCATTTCTCTTTGTGCTTTACAGCACAAAGTGGCCTTATCCCAGAATGATGCAAACATTGTTTTATAAACTTACTGTACAATAACTCAATACCCCAAAGCATGGGATTTAGTTGGCTTTAGTAGTAATGATGACATGGTCACAGTTCTTTTAACAGAATTTATCACATTACTAAGCTATTCTTTCTGTATTGCCCAATATATCACTAGAGCTGTATGAAGAACTTGAAGGAGTTATTTTTGGGCCTTCCACTGCTTATAATTCATAGGCACCTTTTTCTGCATTAAGTCATATATTATCCTCTTTTTTTTCTTGTCTAACTTGTTTTGTTCAATTCCCTTTACAATGTATAATTTAGTTCTTTCTAGATAACTAAAGCAGCTGCTCTCATTATTAGATCTGCTTTGATATTAAGAAGAGTTTAAGCTATTTAAATTGTGGGGTCAGACACTACAGCAATAGAAGAGGATCTCAAGCTTCCAGTGTATCATAAAACTTTTAAGTCACATATGAACTACACTGATGCATTTGTACTGATAGACACGTGAACCCTACAGACAATTGCTATTTTTTGGGCCCTCTAATTTTGTTCTGATTACACAGGTACAATGCAGTGAATGAGATAATTGAAGAATGAAGAAAGCACATGTTCTATCAGTCAATCCAAACGGAGAAATGTAACTTAATGTTTTGCACCGATCATTCTAATTTATACTTTGTCTCTAATTTCTTTCACTTAAAAACAGTTATGTCAGTTACCTCAGAGAAGTATAATTGAATTGTTAGCTTACACCAAAAAGAAAATGTAAGGTCTGCTGTGAAACATCTAACCCACCATGACGGCAACATTTTGTGACTTTCCAGATTTTCAGGTTATTAAATTCTACAAATAGCTGCGCAATTGAAAAAAAAATCCATTTTTAGAACACGAATCACAATTAGTGTTTCTTTTCTTTTGCAATAAATTCATTTTTATCAATATTTTGACTGAATCTAGGTGATCAATCTGTATAAAATCTATTTCAAATCACAGATTAATTTTAAGTGGTTTAAATGTTTAACTTACAGAATTAGGCCTGAGTGCTAAACAGTGTTGTTGAAAGTCTGTAAAGTTGTGAGTATTTTCTGCAGGAAGCAGAGAACACACAGACCTGCACTGGGACATATGGTGTCTCCTAGAGAAGTTTTTTGCAATGCATAGCCTTTGGCCAAAGCCCACCATCTGTAGCTTCAACTTTTCTTCCAGCTGCTGGTAAAGGTGAAGTACAGAACATATGCTGCACAAAGAGTAACCTTTACATTAGGGTTTAGTTTATTCATTGGTTTGTTGGTGGTTTTTTGTGTTTTGTTTTTGTTGTTTGTTTGGTTTTTTTAACATTCAGAGACATTTTTTAACAAAATATTCATTAATATAAAACTCAGAAAACTCAAAGTCAGATACCTTAAAAAATTATGTACACAACTATGAGCTCCAGTGGGGCATAGATTAGCTATTTATGTAAAGAATTTGCTTCCTCAGTTTTGGAGAAAATGCAGGACAATGAAAATACAGGCATTCCCTTATGTTTGGGATGTATGCATAGAAGGAACAAATGCCATGCTCTCCCAGTGTGAACTGGGAATGAGCATCTTGGAGGTATCATTTACACAAAGATGCTTGACACACTGTCAGTTCTGTCCTAGAATGATCCCAATGAGCTGGAAAATGGCTGTGTGCAAATAATAGAGTATTCCAATATTACTTGGCAAGACATAGTTACTGAACACACGACTTCCACCCCAATATCATTGGTTTTGCCTAACTTAGGTCATAAGGGAAGCCAACTGCATAGAGAATGTGTGTGCTGCCCAAAGCTTCCACATCATTTCCAAAATCTTGGCAGCGTTCACAGCATCTGCTCCCAGGCAGCGCAGGGTGCTGCAGGACAGGAATGGAGTGACTTAGCAGAGCTACAGGTATGCCAACAAACTTGCACAACACCTCCTGCCCAGCCTAGGAATGGTTACCTAGAGCAATCCATGAGCACCAAAACTCATCGTGCACAAGAAAAAAATGATTACAGTCATGTAATCTAATACACTCTAATGGTTGAACCAGTATGGCTGAACAACTCAAGCATTTCTATTTGCTTTTGACCCTGAACAAAGTGAAAGTTGTAGGACTAAATAATTTATCTATTTTGAAACACTAAGTGGCTGACAGGTACCATAAAAACAAATGGAAGAATATTCCAAATATATGCCTACAAAGCTAGTAGAAGGTAAAGCAATGAGAAGACAGAACATAACAGGAGGACAAAACATGTTTAAAAAAGAGGTGCATTCTTTCACAGGTTGAGGAACATGCAGAATGACACAACAGACATGCTGTTGAACCCAAGTCCTCTTTCTAAACACCCATACCTTCCATGCTTTACACACAGCAAAGATCAGCAATTACTTTTCAAAGACTCCTTTATATGGTAAATATAAGCTGATTATGAAAAAACTAAATGAATACATTTTTACTGTCAAGATGAACATCATAGGTAAATTTGAAAACAACAAAAATAGTCCCTCCAAAAACATTTTAAGCTTCAATTTCAACAATTACTTTTAATTTCCTTTCATAATGTTTTTTCTTGTTGCAAGACTATAAACACCTTCATTTCTTTTTCATTTCCTTGAAACATGAACAGGGAATAAGCTAAACATCCTTACTCTCTCATTGCTCTCTTCAGAGCACTTACATTTATATATTTCTTCCAGGAAATGGATTTGACAAAGCATCAGTAACACTTTTATTTTCATAGCACTTCCAAAAATTATATTCTAAGCCATAAACAGCATTTAAAGAACTAAGTCCTCATCTCAGAACTCAGAGGGAAAAAAATATAACACCCCTCACCCTCAAAAAATGAACTAAAACTCCCAAATAAATAACAGATAGTGATCAGGCCAAAAGAAGAGCACCCAGCTGAGCTTACTTCCAACATAAGTCAACTGAGTTTGCCCTCATCATTACTCAACACTTTTTAATCTCTTAAATGGATTTTTGAAGGTTAAAAGGATATCTTTTTTTGGCTCTTAATGATAAAAGTTAGCCTGAAAGCATATTTTCTGGTTTATTCCTGCATTTTGGGCACATACCATGCAGTCTACTATTTCTTACAAAGGCGTTCATCTTGGCCCCAGCTCCAGTGAAGTCTGGATGAGTAAACTGGTCACGTGTGCTGTGTCACATTACTGGCCACACTTTCTTGTCATGGCTCTTTCATATCACATCATTGTAGGCAGTTATTTAAAGGATTTTAAAGGTGCAGGAAGATACCTCCTGTTTGAGAAGCATTTTATGAGAATGCTTTTGTACAATGATCTAGCAGAGAAGGTAGGTCACCACAAGAAGGGCTTGCAGATAATGCAAGTGCTACTTTAAAATGAGCTCGGATCACTTCCAAAGTTAACACCACCCTACAGAAACATTCACTCACACAATTCCAGGTTTTATCTGACAGGCATTCTGGGAAATACTAGTATTTTAATTGAATCCCAGCCAGCAAAAAGATGTGATTTACGGTGCAAACTAGACTGCACTAAATTTTTGCCTGAAGTGAAAATACTCACTGGTATTCCCTGTACAGCCTCATTTACAGCAGCTTGAACTGAAACCATGGAAGTGGCTGCATATGAATTTCTTTTTCCCCGGAGAGACAATGTTGGAGCATATTGACGTGCACAAGTACTGCTTCAGGAAGTCCTAATGAAATGTGGCTGGCTTAATCACTGGGCTTTTTATTTGGACACGACACCAAATTCCCATGAAAAATGAAGTTGGGGCTAAACTTAACATCAGCTTGACCGAGCAGCTCCTCGTATCTGTCTGCTGTGCCATTATTTTGGGTCTGTGAGGGTGATTTTGCCCAGGCAGAGAGTGTAGGAGGAGACAGACACAAGAGGCAGCCCAGCAGCCTTACCTGACTGCCCGGGTGGTGGAACTCCTGACGCTCCCCTGGGCAGACACAAAAACACCGTCAGGACGGCGGCTCTGTTTCCTGAGCACGGCTCGATGGCGATCGGCTTAGGAGCACCCTGGAGAAGGAAAACACCCAGGTTAACCTTCGAGATTTCCATTCCATTTTCACTTGTGCACTTTTTGTTTTTTTTTTAAGGCACGGTGTAAAGTTGGGAAGATATTTTTTCCGTTGCATTCAAACAGATTGTCCGAACCCTGTTAATTGACATAAAAATGGACACTGACAGCACACGCTGCAGATCTAACCAAACAAAAAAATAAATTCTCATAAGGACAACAAAATTTTACTGAATTTTATAGCTTGCTAAATGTAGTAGTATCAAATTAAAGCTTAGAAAACAGCAAAACCTTTTGATATACACACTGGTATCTGAGAGTAGCCAACTTCCCCATCTCTATTAAGAAGTATCCATGTGAAAGAATTCTGCTTCAACAGCATCCATCACCTAGCCTGCCTAAAGCCAAAACTACAAAATGAGTGCAAATCTACATTATATACCAATAGCTAAAGATTGTCAACCTCACTTGAGAGCCCCAGACCAGGAATTCTGCCTTCTCTCTGTCTGTCCTGCTAAGGAAATTATTTCTTCAAGGCAGGAACATCCTGATTCCTTTTGCATGTGCAAAAGATAGGTGCAGTGCTACTATATTTATATATGTTTAGAAACTCTCTGAAAATGTTGCCTGTGTGATAATCACCTTGCTTTATCTTCTATAAAGCTACGATAGCACTGGTGTTGATGGTGGGGGGGTTTGTGCTGTTACCAAACTCTCATTAAGTATATAGATAATTTAATTTGCAGCTAGCTTTCAGCTAAATGGTTGCTACCATATTGTTCTTGATTTACCAAGGACAGTAGGAGTTGGGAAAAAAAAGCAAAGCAGTCCACAAAGGCAGAGAACAATAAATTTTTGAGATGAAAATTTACAATGTAACCACATTTCCATGTTTCTGAGCTTTGTGTTCACTCAGAGATAGGCATTTCACTTCTGAGAGCTTAAACATTTAGTCAAGCACTAAAGATATTTCTAAAAACATTAGGTCAAAATCAGCATAAGCATTTCTTTCTTTTTCTGTTTGTAAATTTTCTAAATGTCTGTCATGTTCCAAGGCAAAATATGAGTTCGACATTTTGATTCAAAATTCAAAGCCAGAAAACTTTATATTTACATAAAAAATGCAATGTATACAAAAATGTCAACTGATTCCAGTATTCTAAGAAAAAATGCTAGTTTAGTCAAGTTAAATACACTGCAAAGTACTTGATATAAGGAAAACAAAGGCACTTCCATCATGTAAAGCAATAATAATTTTCTATTTTTCTACCTCCAAGTAACCAACATTTATTACTGCTCAGTGAAAAATATATATACTTTTTTTTTTAACTTCCTGGTCATATTTAAAAGGCATTTCTGTAAATTCTTTTAAAGTGACAGCATTAAAGAACTTGGATAAACAATGACATCTAATTTAAAAATGCCATGCCATAGGTTATGACAACTTACACCCACCAAAAGCTTTACCAAGTGATAAAATAGAAAACTAAACCCCCAAAAGCTCCAGCTGGTGTTACTAACGCAAGCAATAGAGCATTTAAGTCAATATTCCTGACTTGACACAACAGCAAATCAAACAACTATTTGGAAACACAAAGAAAATGAAATCTTCATTGTAAAATGTAATTCAGAACACTTTACGCAGACACACAACTGAAAGGAACAAATTCACTGCAATGACTTTTAATTTGGTGATTACTTTCTTACAAATCCACATGATGATATTTTCTTTTGCTGTGTAATATGAACTCTTTGATCAACAGGCGCCATCCTTCTCTGTTTGAAGTTTATACTAATGCTCTTCAAAACACAATTGGAGGAAATGATTTCTGATAAATACTCTTTCAAAGGACTTCATCCAAAAATAAAATACAGTAAAAATTTTGTGCTTTTTTTTCTTTATAAAAAAATTATGACTGCAGAAGCAAGATGTCTTATCTTAACCTCACATCATTCAGGTTTCCTAGCAAAAATAACACAGTAGCATAGAGCAAATGATAATAATTTAGATAGCCTAAGGTTTGTCACTTGTTTAAAGATAAATACATAACCATGAATCAAAGTTATTTCACAGGGACATAACATGTTCTCTGAAATACGCCATTTATCATGCATTTTCCACGGGTTCTTTGGAAGAGATAAGGTACAAGTTTGTTTGCCCAAAGCAGTAAACTACCATGATTTACTTGCTAGAATTATCTTTTTTTCTTTTCCCCTTGTAAAGAAAGTGACTTACATTTTTTGTCAAAACCTCAAATGACAATCACAGATTAATAAAACTTTATCAGTGGAAGGCATAGTAAACAAACACTTCTTTGATAAACTTTTACTCCTATAGTCCCTTTTTTACATACACTATGACAGAAAGAGGTGTGTCAGCTGGGAAGGTGAAAAAGAAAGTGGCAGAGAACTACGAAGGAATAAAAGGATTAAAGAGCATATATTATTAATATTGATAGGGAAAAAAGAGTAACCCAGAGGATATAGAAAGACAAAATAAGTGGAGAGGGTAGAGATTAAATCAGGTAATAAAAAAAAATAGATAAAGTTTTATCCACAATTTAAGTGTATATTCATGCATTTATTCGCAGAAACTATCAGGAGACATCTTCACATGTTCCTAGATTTTTATTAGAGAAAAAGTTCTACATTCTCCCACTATTTTCCTGAATGTCCTAAAAAGCCAAAGTTCAGCTGACTGGTGAGTTTATGAGGAAGTACCAAGCTTTGGAAAGATTCTTGTGGATCTGTTTCAGTAAGAAATAGATTTGGGCCAAATAATTTCTTTTGCTTCAAAGGACAGATGACAATATTACCACTGCTGGCAGAAAAACATATATATTCATGCTTTAGAAAAGAAAGCATCAAAAGAGGTGAGTACGTTTATTTATTGTATTTGTCCATTTGGGAATAAAAGACTTGATCAGCTTTAGGAGTGCAGAGCAAGGAGAAGCTGGGAAGTGGATTTTGTCCCCCTTGGTACAAAAGGGGGTGGGATGGGCAGCAGAGAGCAGTAGGATTTTAATGGTGCTGTGTGAACTTGTCCAGTGTTCAGTCTCAAATTCTAATCAATTTCAGAAGTGGCAAGCAGTGATATGAGAGAGGAAGAACCTGAAGAGGTGAAAAGAGCAGGAGAACAGTGACTAAGGGAATGTTCATGGATTGCTCTAAGTCTTCAGCATCTCCTTGGGCAAAACACACTGAAACTTCAGCACCAATCTGAACCTATGAAAATATTTAATATTGTGAATATGGGAAGATGAAAAGTATAAAGAGTTTTGGTCTATCGGTATTCCAAGAAGTGGTACCTCTCAGAAGTGCTATAAAACTTTTGATTTTCAGTACTAAGTAATATCCCTCTATATATTTTCTTCAGCAGTCTAAGGTGCATCCAATTTTTAAAAGTGCATTATTATACCATAAGAAAAATACTTCACATAAGACTAAATGGCTGCAAACTCATGCCAAAAAAGCAATTAGAAAATTGAATCAAGGAATTAAGGATTAATGTGAGCATGTTACACCTGTCAGAAGCAATAAGTATTTTGACAAGAACAGAATAAAGTTTGACAGTGTGCACAAATACAGATCTGACATATAAATCAAGTATTAAAATGCAAACAGCTATGCATTAATCACTGTAATGTTTCCTACTAAAATGGTCTTGGTAGTACTTACAAGAATTCATTATAAATAAAACTTCAGTTCTTAAAAACCATCTTCTTATACTTCTTATTGTATTAATTAATTATGTCAATTTAAACTTAGTTTTTAATCACGTTATTAAAACAGCATTAATCTGGTGAATTCCACACCAGCTAAGCTAGATACCTCGGCAAATAAACAATCAAATCTGTTGTTGCAACAGGATTAGGACCAGACTCAGAATGCAAACAGCCTTTTTCTGGATTTTTAATGTGCAAGACTTCAGAGAGGAAAAAATGAAAAAAAAAAAAAAAAGAAAAGAAAAAAAGACTGTGTCCTTTGAAGAGGTAAGAGATGCAGAAAAGGAGGAAACATAAAATTCAGACTGTTATATTACAAGTATTCACTTGCTCTCGACTTCTGGTGCTTTTCCTAAATTCTTTGGTTATTTTCTGAGTTACATGATTTATTTGGGATATACAAGTCTCAGATTCCAAAATGCATTTGAGTACCCAGTTTGGATTTTGGTCAAGTTAAGTTGCCTACATACAAATTCAAAAGCCTCAAGAAGCTGTTAGTCTTACTATTAGTATCAAAAATTTCCCAAGACCTGAGAGTTGTCTCTACCTGCCAGGCACATTTTGGTCTCTTAAATGCCTCCTCTGGCATTCTTGCAGCTGCCCTGGATGCAGAGCTCAATGAAGATAGCTGTTCCCAAAATATCCCTATCAAATTAGGGTTTTACATTGCAGTTGTGACCACTTTCTTTTAAAACAGAGTTGAAAGCAGAGATTAACTCTGTTTTTTTTTATGGTTAGAGGATGAACCCTGCTTACCCTGCTCTGCTTTTACTAAATGCAGCTTTGAGGTGAAACTCTCTGACCTATAACTAAAGATGAAGTGTCAAATGCTGTGATTGTTCTGACCATTTTCAGCGCAGTAAAGGCAGACTTCTCAGCAGTGCTAAGAAAAAAAAAAAAAAAAAAGAAAATTCTCCCTCTCAAAATCACAGAATTCCACTGATGTCATTTGGCTGGGGCTTTTTGGGCCATTTTCCTGGAGAAACTCCAACTGTCCCTTGTGCAGCCATCCTTCCAGGAGAAGGAGATGGCAGACTCCCGTGGCAGACAACCTCCATCCTGCCTCCACCTGGTTGTTTCCACAGTCATTTACCAAGAGAATCAAACCCAGCAGTAATGTCAGAGGAAAGAAGCAGCACTGTCTGCTCCTCCCAGCAAAATCCCACCACTTTCACAGCACCTGCTGCTGTCCCAAGGAGGACCTGACACTTCCAGAGTGCTGGAGCTAAGGCAAGGCCAGGAACAAAGGCTGCCATCAGCACTGCTGGCTCTGT